TCCTTCTCTTTTGGTAAATATTTTTAATTTTATAACTATTTGACTTTTCTCTTAGTGTGTTTCTAGTTCTCTCAACATGACATCTGGGGATGAAATATTCGGAGATAAGGTTATTGATGAAGACGCTTGGTTGACGGAAGACTTTTATGGCCCGACTTTTTGGGCTTGTCATGACTTGAACTCTGGAAAGTCTGAATTTGAATATGGGAGTAAGGGTTGGTATTGGGACGGATATTCTCGATTAAGCGAATATGCGAACAGACGTAGTCTTCTAACAACGTTGGTGAATGATCGGTCTAAGGAGAGAGATGATCTTGCACATAAAATTGATAATTTTGGCTTGGTTGTGCATAACTTGGATGCAAATTTGAGTGCAAAGGTTGATGCGTGTAACGCCCAACTATTTAATGATGAGTTGTGTGAAGCTGAAAAAGATCTTCTAGACTAAATTGAGCAGCTAAAACGAGAATACAAATCATTAGACCATATCTCCTTGATGATGCCAATATTGAGAAGAGTGCTCTAGAGTCATGTGAGAGAGTAGATAACATTACTTTGGGAGACTTGACTGTGTGTATATATGGGGATGTAAATAATAGTACAATTCATGAGTTAGGGCGCAATAAATCTCATTCCAATCATTTTTCTACATTGTGTTAAGATAGTAAGATAGTAATCGAGCCATCTGAGCCTATGAGGGAGTTGAAGAGTGAGGATGAGAGTGTCTATATTCTTGAATTTTTCATGCCAGAAAGCAAAAATTACATTCCTCATCTAAAGGCCAAGAAGTGTAGAGTGAAAAAATTATTACTTGGCCTGGTTATCATTGTAGCCCCACCACTGGAGCATAGCCGCAGACTACATGCCATGTTAGGGGTACAATTCGTAAGTTCGAGGTGGAGGAAAAAGTTGTTCACGTCGTGCCGCGACGTTAAATCAGGCGCTTGTTGGGAGGCAACCCAGCTTTACTGCTTTCTTTTATTTTTGATTTTTTTCTTATAGTATTATTTTTGTAGTGTTGTTTTATTTTGTAGGATTTTGAGCATAGGGAGCAAAGCCATTGGAAGGGTGAAAAAGTGAGCTAGTCGGTTGGAACTAGTGTGAGGTACCCGCACAAAGGATCATCCTTGGGAGAAGTCTGAGTATCCCGTGAGCTGCTATTGTTTCAGCCTTTGGCCTTTTAGGGAGTTTCTTGTCCACCCCTGTTATTGTTTTGCTTTATTTGTGCATTGGGGGCACTGCAGTTTTTTAAGTGTGGGGTGGGAGAATTTCTCTATATAATTAGTAGTAGGATGTTAGAAAAATTTTAGCTTCTTATTTTTGTTTTTGTAGTTGTGTAGTAATTTAGTAGTAGTTTTAGTAGCTTAATTTTTTATTCTTTTTTAAATGTGGAAAATCAGAAAATAAAAAGAAAGTAAAAAAAAAAATTGGACTTTTCCCGACGATGGATCTCCTAGACAGTTTTCTTGAGGGATTTTAGTCTAACCAATAACACAAAAAAAATTAAAAAAAATAGAAAAACATAAAAACATGTCTTTTATCTTTCTTTAGGTAGTAATAATCCCCCGTGATTTTTCTTTGTGCCTCGGTTCTTTTTCATGGGATGTAGTTTGAACCAGGTAGTAGTATTTTATTTTATTTTATTTAGAGTAGATTAGAATTTAGGGAATAAATGGAGGAAGAAAGATGAGATTCCTAGACGCCTTGACTGTTTGATAGTAACATATTTAGGCTTTGCATGTGTAGTATCTTCCCTATGTTTTGAGATTGATCATGATGCCTCGCTTACTTGGATAGCATATTTTGTGACACCTATGTCTCATTTTCTTGACTTGTGTTCACTTTGTGCTTAATGGTTAATATCTCGTGGCTTTGTGAATACTTGCATTAGTTGAGAGTCGGAAAGTGACCGTCCATAGTGAGTCATGTGCTATGTGTGGTGAGGTTTTTGTGTAGTCTATGTATTGTACTTGTGTCCAGAACTTGCCCAGTATTTGAGTTGAAGCGAAATTCGAGGTGATGCTCGGTTTAAAAAATAATTTTAGGCTTTCTTTGATCTTTTTGAGCTTATTGCTTACCATAAATAAAATTTATCCCTAGTTACCCCTTTTGAGCCTATAGACTTTTATTTGGCACCCACATTACAAGCCTATATCCTTTTTGTTCTTAATTGATATTTTTTATCCTTTTACCTCTTAAAACACTTTAATTGTGAAATGAGCGCTAAAAGAAGTAAGAAGGGACTAGTGTGGGGTGGCTTTTGAGTGGAACCAATGAAAGAAAGAAGGGTGCACTTATTTTTGTAAAATAATACACCACTAGCAGAAATTGAAAAAGAAAAATAAAAGAAGAAAAATCTGAAAGCAAAAGAGAAGGAAAAATAGAAGAATATATTGATGTCTTGTTCTTGCTAGTGGGTATGAATTAAAGTAGTGCTTAAAGAAAAAGGGAACCTTGTTGGGAGTGATTTTAGTTGTAAAATTAAAGTGTATTGAAGGATTTGAGCATAAGTTATCATGTGATGCGTTAAAGTGCTTTGGAGGGTGAGTTACTATTCCTAAAATATATCCTACCCATCTCTTAGCCCATATTACAACCATAACAGTCCTAATTAATTTTAGATCGAGTGAGCCTATATTAGTAGAGATTTACATTAAGGGCAAGCCTATGGTACCAAGTAAATGCATATGACTTCTTTGTGAGAGTGAGCGGAGTTTCTCCGAAATATAAGTCCTTAAAATATATTTGAGTATTTGATTCGAATGTGTGGATTCTTCTTATTCTCTTTGCTTTTGTTGTGAGGGCACATGGTTTCACGAGGGATAGATAACATTATTAGACTTCTCTACGATGTTGAGTGTTCAAGCCATGAGTGAATTGTGACATTGAGTCGGGTTTTGAGGCAAGGATTGTTAAGAGCATGATGCTTTTGTTTTGAATATTTTTGAAATATGGAATAACTTAAAGGGAAGTGTGTGTTGAATGCATATGCTAGAGCTTAATTGTTGCTATCAACCATGGTCATAGGTATGGTGTGCTTTGAAAGATAAGAGCTTTATTTTATTTCGTCTACTATAGTAATGGTTTGTTCGAGGACGAACAAAGGTTTAAGTGTGGGGTGGTGATGTTGGGCATATTTCTATATGTTTTGATATTACTTCACTCATATTTTAACCGCTTTTTGGTGCTTTTTGGTGTTAAAAATGTCCAACATGCTTTAATTATTGGTTTTATGATTAATGGAGCTATGTGTGATGATCTAGGTTGTTTGGAGTGCAAAAATATTAAGAAAAGGTGCTCCAACTAGAGGAAAAGAGGTTGGATGCGACAGGAAGATACTTGGTGCACCCCTTAGCAGTGAAGTCAGCCCATAGCATCCCCATAGCATCCGCACCTGGGCAAATCGGGGGACGAAGTGGATGCGAAGCATCCACCCCAGCATCAATCCCTGAAGCTGATTCGGACTAGGATTAGAAGAACTTTGGCCCACGACTTTTGTACGCAATATATAGGCCAAAAACATCCCTTTTAGGTCATCTAACATACATCTAACACACTTTTGACGAAGGAAGACCACAGAGCCGCCGTGGAGGCCGGGTTTCATCTTTCTTCCACCAAACTTTGTAATTTTTATGTTTCTTTGTATGATTTGTTGTTTTGCTACCATGTCTATGTGGAGCTAAACGTCTCGTTCTAGGGTTGTGGTTCTTTCATGACTATTGTTATTCGGATATTGATTTTGATTTATTAGTTTATCATATTGGTTCATTTATTTAATCATGCACTAAATTATTTAATTGCTAGATCACCAATTGAATACTATCTACGAATCTTGAATTGAACTCGAAAGTGGGAATTCTAGATTGCATATAGGATTGAATAGAGCAAGTTCTTGAACCTGGGCATCGGGGAACAGATTTGCGGTTAGGATAGACATATACCTAATTGCCTTGCTTGGTTGATTTACAGGAACTATAAATGCATTCTTGTTAGTTCTAACTCCATAGACATATAGGCGTTAGGTTAGCTTGAATAGGTGAGTAAGAACTCGACAGATTCTTATGAGCAATATTAACCCTATTAACCATTAAACTAGATAAATTAGTTAGTCAATTCAATTGAAGAATACAATAGGAATGTTAGATAGCCCATAACCCTAGATCGTTTTCATCGTATTGATAACATAAAAATCTGCTCTTCCTCTGTTCAAAGTTCATTATTTGTTTTTATTTATTTTAATTAGTTTAGAATCAAATACTTCTAGGTTTAATTCTTGTTTAGATAATTAGATAGTCTAATTTAGTTAATAGTTAATCACAAGTCCTCGTGGGATCGACATCCGACTTTTAGTCACTTTATTACTTGACAACTGTGTATACTTGCGTGTGCGTTTGACGGCAACAACGAGACCAACAAGATGGCCATTAGATATCTTTTTGGGATAAGATTTCAAATGGGGGAATCTATCGTCAAAAAGCGCATCTAATCGATGGTGATCCAAATGTCGTAGCTTGTCCTAATGTTCCGGGGCATGTAAAGGAAGAATTTAAAGCATACCTTCAAAAAAAGAAAGAGTTAAAGACTGAACTGATTCATGAACAAGAACTTTATAATCTTGATGATGATGATGATGAAACAGAAGAAGGTGACGATGCTTCGTCGCTTCCACCAAAATCACAAAAGTGGGGTAGGATGCTTCCACTAATGTCTTCTAGTTGTGGATCTACCGGCAAGACCAAAGGTCCTATGAATTGTTACTTTCCGCAAAAATCTGGAGATAAGGGAGGAAAAAGTGGTAATCCTCAAATTGATGCCAAAACGATTTTGAGGGATCGTGCAGTTACAATGCTTGCCCGGTGGATGTATGATGCAGGTCTTCCTTTTAATTGTGTTAATTATACTGTCACTTTTGCTGCTTTTATTGAGGTCGTAGGCCAATATGGTCCAGTAATGAATCCTCCAACTTATTATGAAGTTAGAGGGCCATATCTAAAAAAGAGATGGCAGAGGTGAACAAAATCGTGGAGGAGCACAAAGTAGAATGGAACAAGTTTGGTTGTTCCATTATGATGGATAAGTGGACGGCGAGAAATGAAAAAATGATCATCAATATCTTGGTGAATTCTCCTAAGGGAAGCCTGTTTCTTGAGTCCGTTGATGCAAGCGACTCTTCGACTGATTCAACCAAAATGTACTTCTTGTCCAAGAGTACAATAGACTCTATTGGAGCAGAAAATATTGTTCAAGTTGTCATGGACAACGCCAATGAAAATGTTAAAGCTGGTGATTTGATGTCTGTTGGGTACCCACATATCTATTGGACTCCGCGTACAGCACATTCCATTAATTTGATCTTCGGTGACATTTTCAAGGAAAGACCCTTCAGTACTGTCTTTAATCAGGCAATTAGAGCACATTCCTATATAGTTCAAAGGCCTTTGTTATTGAACATGATGAAGAGATTCACTAAACAAAGAAGCTTGGTGAAACCTGCAAAGACAAGATTTGCTACTGCTTTCTTGATTTTGCATATGATTCATGAGCAAAAAAGCAATTTGAAGAAGTTGTTTGTTTCAGATGAGTACACTAGCAGTGCCTATGGAAGGGAAGCTCGAGGGAGAGAATCTGCAGATATTATACTTTCTCCTTCATTCTAGAACAATGTGGTTCATGCATTGAAGATTGGTGGTCCTTCAGTTAAAGTGCTTCGTTTGGTGGATGGGGAGCAAAGGCCACCAATGGGCTACCTGTACGAAGCAATTGATAGGGCAAAGGAGGCTATTCAAGCCTCTTTTAATGATCAAAGAAAATACAAAAGAGTCTTTGAGATCATAGATAAAAGGTGGGATAGTAAGCTTCATAGCCCTTTGCATGCAGATGGACTTATTTTGAACCCGGAACTGTTTTATGACAATGAAGAGAGGATTCTAAGAGATGAACCTTTGTGGAATGGATACTATAAATGTATTGAGAAGTTGATACCTGAAGAATTCGTGCAAGATAAAATAACAGAGCAATTTAGTATTTATAGGAATGCTGAGCAATATTATCGGATTACTTGGCTCTCAATTAATCTGATAATGAAATCAATCAGATTGTTCATTGGGAGTGTTGACTTTCAGAAATACTTGAGCAACCAAATTAGGCCATACAGATTGATTTCATTATCAGATTAATTGGGAGCCAAGTAATCCGATAATATTAATAGCACTGAAAATATTACAATGAAACTAAGGTCATAACAGTAACCGAGGGAGAACCAGATTAGTGAGATGAGAAGAAATGAAGAATACAGGAGGAAAGGAAATGAGAGGACACTAGACAATGGCAACAACTTACAATATGCTACCAATCCCTTGTTCATTTACTTCCTAAAACAAACTATCTTGCATACAACAACAAAACTAGTTATGAATCGTTACTAATCATATTACACTATTTAAATTCATTTCAAACCAATATTATGCAAATACATATAGAAAATTATGAAGTTCTTATATTTTCTAAAAGTATATATCTCTTTAAGGTTCAACAACTCCTAAAAAATTATAGGACCTAAAGCAAAAGTAATAACATCTCTCTCTCTCTCTCTCTCTCTCTCTCTATATATATATATATATATATATATATATATATATATATATATATATATATATACTATATCAAAAGATGTTGTGATTCACATTTTCACTTTCTTTTTGCTGGTAATTTGTGTTTCTTTCATAAGGATTTTTTAATTTTAGTTTATTTATCAAATTTCGATGATGTTTATGTCTTTCCTTATATTATTTATAATGGAAGACTGTGAGTATCTTAATTGAAAGTGATGTGATCTGAGCGGGGTGGTAAGATTATATGAACAAATTCTTATATAAATAAATTGATTAAAACAAAAGAAAGAAATCTTGTCCATAATGACCAGAAGTATAATTTCTGTTTACATATGTGCTAAATTTGTATATGCTGAAATGATGAGTTCTAATTATGCCTTTATTTATTTTTTTAGATGTGGGCATGATCAGAGTTGTTGTTGAATTCTGTTGTGCGGTTAATTCTGTGCAAGTGCACCATCAAAAAGAGAGCTCTCATTCTGCACTAATGACTTGTGAAAGGTTATGTATGTCTTGCAAAGCTTCGAGCACATCACATGAAAACATTGAGCCCAAAATCTGCCCACCCAATTTTTTTTTAAATTAAGCCACTAGGCATTGTACCTAGGGTTGGTTTTCATATAAATAACAAAAAATTACAACAATGGAGGGGGAATGGACCTGACCTCCAGAAATGTGATGTTAGAGCATTTAGTTGTCCAAACATGACAACTAAATGAGCCCTGGATGTTGTGATGACTAAGACCTATAGTGATGTACCAATTATCTATCCAATGGTGGTAGATAACTGGATGTACAAAATTAGAGTGATGTAAACCTAGGTCAACTATACAGAAATACACAAGTGATCCTAACTCTACTGAAGTAGTGAGATGGAAGATCATCTTCCCTATGTTACTAATCCTACACCTAGAAAAAATATAGAAAGGACCGTGAAGGGGTGACAAAAAACATGTACTAGTGGAATGGGCTATCTTCAATCCTGCTTTGCCATTGGAGACAAAGAAAGCAAGATTGAAGATAAATTTCAAAAGGATCCAATAAACTGGACTGGAGAGCTGCTGCTTGTTACTGCTGACAGAAGGGAGTGAACACTATCTTTCGTCAAATGTCCACCAAGGATTATGCTGGCAACTAGCTGCTGAATGCTAGGTAAGAGGTTGTCATGGGTAGACTCATGTTGTTGAGAGCTGCTGATTGAAAAATGCATGGTAACTAAAGTTGGTGACTGAAAAGTGGAATTGGTGGCAGGTTTCTGTAAATGGACCTGCTACATAGAGACAAGATAATGAGAAGTGTCATGTTGGTGTTTTCTTTGTGGAAGCATAGGGCAGTAAAGTTTGACAGTTTGCTGTAATTGTTGTTGCTTCATGCATCAATAGAAACGAGGATCTCCTGGAAGTGTTTGCTTTGGAGCTACCGTTGACATAATGATGAAGGTGAGCAATTGTGGGTGTGTGGAGATGAGTTAGGAGTTGGATTGGCAGACTTGGTAGAATTGATGCACTTTCAGTAGAATGAGCATCTAAGATGCTGATACCACTGACTGAAAGTGCAGCAATTGACCAAGCTAGTTCCATGTACCTACAAAAAATAGCAAATATGTTAGTGAAAGAAGCCCCTGTTTCCAGGTTCTTATGGGGTCTGGAAAGAGGGATGATATCTTTGCTTTTGAGTGAGCAACTGTTTGCAGGTTCTTGTTTTGGCTGTATACAGTTTGATGGATGTTTCTGTGGTTGAGAAGGTGAAAAATAGGTGGGTAGGTACACGTGTAGATATAAGGAGTCTTATGAAGGATTGAAGTTGGAGATGTTGCTTTATGGCATTGGTGGTGTGCTTCAGCCAGTTAATATATTTCCATATGAATGAACATCATAGTTGCTGCTACCATACTCTGAAGATATATCAATTGGCTGAGCTTGAGGAAGAGGATGGATACTGCAGAAGAGAGAGCATTATTAGGTAGAAATTGATCATTTCTGCCCAGAATTCTAGATTTGATGCTTTCTGTAATCAGGTTCTTGTGTAAATTGATGCAGCATGGATGAGGGTAGGTGATTCTTGACTGATGTCTATACGTGTTTGGTTGGTTATGTGAGTGTTTCTGTGGGTTGGGGGAAAGAAATAGGGTGTTGTGGTGTTCTTGTATGGATAATGAAAACGGCATGTATCTGTGGGATCCAATTCTATGTCTTTTAGGGTGAACCTCCTTCTCTCTATAACCTATATCCTTCCTTTGTTGGGATTCCAGGAGAATGAGCACAACCACACCCTGAAATAACAACAAAAAGTTGGATAGGTCATATGATAGTGAAACATGCAAAAGAGCAAACACAATTAGTGAAAAACTCATAACTATACAGTTCCACATGAGGGAGGAACTGTTGTTATTGGTGCTGCCATAGTCAGTGGTAATTTGGAATATTTTGACTGCCCCACTATGTTGATCATGGTCGACCATAAGCATTAGAATTTTCAAGAGGCATCCGTGGTAGCAATACCAAATCTGCTTCAGGTGTAGTAGCCTGTTCTGATGGAAACCTGATTTTCCTTGTCTTCTTATGCCTGAATGTTGGGGTACCTAGGGAGTCCTGCAGGATCTGGCCTCTTATTTGATTTGGAAATGAGGAGAGTGAGGTATAATTGGTAACAGTTGAAAATTGATGGCAGAGCTTTGACAGAGAGTCAGTAGGACAGTTGGCTTCTCTATATGTGTGTGAGCATGTGAACTCCTCACATTGATGATAGAGGTTTGAGAGCTGTTGAAGTTTCATCTTCATGGTCCATGGAAACCCTTTGCCATTGTTTAACCATTTAACTAAAGTAGAATATGATTCCAGGTGAATCTGAGAGTATCCATTACTCAAACACCATAGGATACCTAAGAAAGCTGCTTTAATTTCTGCAAGGTTATTGGTACCTTCCCCTAATGGTGCAGCAATGGCGTGTATGAAGCCACAATTATGATCCCTAATAATCACCCCTGTGCCAATCTTTTCTAGGTTTATGAGTGCACTCCCATCACTGTTGATCTTTACAAGGCCATGGCTTGGTTTCTTCAAAACTACCTGGGTCGAGATGGTTTGGTGATGGAGGTTCTCAATGAAAGAGTATAAATCCTGCCATCTGATGGGCCATTTGATTTCTGGATAGTTGGCTTGAAGCAAGAGGTTGATGTCAGAGTTAATGAAAAATAAAACTCTGGTCAAGGAGGATGGTTTGGCTCCATATTCGGCATTGCACATAATTCCAACATATTATGATAGGCAAGGTATTTAAGATGAGTCTTTGTACTTCATTGTGACTGCTGAGAAGCCACCACTTCATCAAAAGTATTCTGAGAGGCATGTCTTCAGTTTGAATTCCAACTGGCCCTCCAAATTTCCTCCACACAATTCTGGCAAAGTTACCCACGCTAAAAAGGTGGTCAACTGTTTCACTGGAGTGAACAGAGCAACAAACACACCTAGAAACTGTAGGATTGCTAAAAACTAGCACCCTATCATCAGTTGGGAGTTTATTTCTGAGAGTTCTCCACAAGCAAAAGGGCCATTTGAATGGAATTTTTTTATGCCATGTCATCTTATTGAATAGGTTAGGTTGCTTCTCTTTTCTGATTAATTCCCATGCAGAAGCACAGGTGAACCTACCATCAGTAGTAGGGGCCCAGATGATTTCATCTTGCAAGTTGCTATTGAAAAAGATTGGGATCTGAGTTATCAAATGGATCATGTGAGGTGGGGCACTCTCATTGAGTCTTTGAAGATTCCGCTGGCCATTGTTCCAAAAATAGGAGACTGAAATATTCCCACATCTACCTCCTTCATTTCTCCCACCAAAAACTGTAGTTTCCATAATGGAGTCTCCATTGGATGTTCTTTTCAACTTCTTTCTTGTTGACCGTCAATCTTTTCCATGCTTGTGATTGTCCTTTACCCATTTTTTGGAGATGGGATTGGATCTTTGACAATACTTGGCTTTAAGGAAGTTACTCCACAAGGATTGAGTAGATCTGAAGTGCCACCATTGTTTGTATTCCATTGATTTGCAGATGTCTTCTATGGTTTTGAATCCAATACCCCCTTCATTCATAGGGAAGCATAATTTGTTCCATGAAGCCCAGTGGTATTTCCTTTTGTTATCTTCCATGCCCCAGAAGAAGTTTGCTGCTAGCTTCTTAATTTGTTTCATGACTGTCTTAGGAGGAGAGACTGCGGACAGTAGATAGATTGGCATAGATTGGAGAACATGCTTTATCAGAGTAGCTCTTCCTCTATGTGATAGCATTTTGCCATGCCAGCCCCTGATTCTTCCCGCAATTTTGGAGATTAGATTGTTGAAGTGGATGATTTTCAACCTGCCAGTGTACAGTGGACATCGCAGGTAAGTGAGAGGGGATAGCTTTCTAGAGAAACCTATGACTACTTGGATTCTTCTAATTGTTGACTGAAACGCACAGAGGGAGGTCATGAAATGAATTTTTTTCCTATTGATCTGTTGGCCAGAAGTATCCTCATACTTGTTCAATATCCACATGATTTTCTGAAAAGATGACCTTTTCCCATAGGAGAATATGATGATATCAGCTGCAAAGCTGAGGAGATTGACTTGGGGGTCCCTTCTTTCCATATAAAAACCATTGAAAAACTGATTATGATTGAGGGGGTTAAGCATTCTAGATAGAAGCTCGGCCCCAATGATGAACAAGGAATGGGCAAGGGGATCTCCTTGCTTTAGTCCCCTTTTAGAATGGAATAAACCATGCCTAGTTCCATTTACAATGACTGAATACCAATTGTTGGACATGGTTCTCCATATCATATCAATGACCATCTCACAAAAACCCACTTCTCCTCAACATTATGCAAGTGAAACTCCAGGAGACCATATCATATGATTTAGCCATATCTAACTTTATGACTACATTGGATCCCTCATTTGGTTTCTTGATGCCATGGATAATTTCCTGAGCAAGCATGATATTCTCAGAAATATTCCTTCCTTTTACAAAACCTGATTGGTTAGCAGAAATAATTCTTGAAAATATAGGCCCAAGCCTAGCACCTATAACTTTGGAGATGATCTTGTTTATGAAATTACCGAGGCTGCTAGGTCTGAATTCAGATAAAGAGTTTGGAAATTCCACCTTGGGGAGGAGAACCAAGCATGCACTGGTCATGTATTTTGGCATATTGTAGCCGCAAAGAAAGCTAGTACAACATTTAGCAGATCATCCTTAATGATGTCCCAACAAGATTGGTAAAATTTGCCATTGAAATCATCTGGCCTTGCAACACTTGTGGGATTCATAGAGAACACAACTTCTTTGAGCTCCTGTAAGGTTGGGTCTGCTGACAGAATTACATTATCCTCAGGAGTGATCATGGAGGGGATGCATGACAACAGAACTTCCCTGATGACTCCTCCTGGATTTGTGAAAAGGTCGTGGTATAAATCACATGTTGCTTTACCAATAGCCTCATCACCTTGGATCCACTGTCCATTCTCGTCTTTGATTTTGTGGGTATAGAGTTTCCTTCTTCTGCCTCTAATAAGACTATGGAAGTATTTAGTGTTGACTTCACCTGCCCACCCAATTTTCAAACTCATAGAACAATGCAAAAAAATAGCCACCCTCAAGCAAGTGCAAGCTCAAATGATTACATCTGGGCTTATTCTCCACACTTACCCTCTTAGTTGCATACTCATTTTTCCTCCACCCTAGCCGCCACCAACTCCTATGCGCTNTATATATATATATATATATATATATATATATATATATAATTTTCATACAAATTTTATACAATATGCCTTGTGTATGTACTTTATATATGATTTGTATATATTTTGTATCTGGTTTGTTCTTCTTCATCTCTGAAATTCCAATCAAAAATTTTACTCTTAATACAATTTGATACATATTAATAACTTTATGTAAAAAAGTAGTATTTATAACTTAAATACAAATTTCATACAACGACTCATACAGTATACACTAATTTTTAACTTCCATACAATATTCAAATAAAAAAAATACAACTAAAAATAAAATACAATCAAATATAGTTTTCATACAAATTTCATGCAATTATTATACAACTTTAATGCAATTTTGTATGTATATTGTATGCGAGCGTTCTTCTTTTTCTTCTTCTGAAAATCCAGCCCAAATCAAATCTAATCCTCACCACATACCCTCAAAATTGAGATACAAACTCCATAATATATTCTAATCGTTTGCAATAACACCTAATCCAAGCAGCTAATATTTTTTGAAATCCGAATTCAATTTCAAAGCTTCGAAACCTGGCAGTCAATGGTGGAGAGTCAAACACATTCAAAATTTATTGATTGATAATTTTAATTCGAACAATCGAGTTAAATAATTAATATCTATCTGGTGCTAGCCCTCCATCGGAACGCCAACAAGAAAAGGGAAAACCCACAAAAGCTCCAAACTCTGGCCATGACAAAATTCAGATTGACAAAAAAATTATTCCTTTCTTTTCTATTGTTAGAGAAAATTATGAGCTTTAGAAGAAAATCTTATAAAATCAGTGTAGAAAAAGGGTTGATTTCAAAGAGAGAAAGAGAAAAATTCTTTAGAAAGAACTGTGATTGGGATTTGTCGACGGAAGAAAGGAATTGTGAGGGTTTAAAGGGATTTATCAAATTAAAGGCTATAATATTATTAAAACCTCTCTACCGAGGGTAAAGTATCTCTTTTAACACTGCGGAAAAAAAAAGTTTCCCTTAATGCCAAAGTTTCCCTTAGAGAAGAATGCTCTGGTCTCCTTGACAGATTGACATTCTCGTCATTTTTGGAAGGAGGCGGCGGGGAGAAAATCTCTAGTGCAGGGGAAATAAAAAAGGGGCTGAAGTGAAATTGAAGAGTCAAATGGCTACTTCTTCATAAGTTTCTTCTTCCAAGTAGGTCTACGTTTTTCTCTTCCCCTTTATTTATGTTCTTGCGTTATTACTTGACGTTTTCTTTTTTAATATGATAGCTAAATCAAGCAGTGTATTTTTGTAATATTTAATAGTTGAAGCCACTTGATAAAAATGGCGAACTTGAACTCCCTTTGACTTGGCAATGCTTGAAACTGAAAGTTAGTATGCACCTTTGGCTTATCAGAAATTTGAGTTTTTTTTTGGTTGGGGGCCTATTCTGAAAGTAAAAAGGTGATATGACTACTTAAAGATTGCATAAATAGATCAAGTCTAAGTTGATAGTAATTGATAATTTATAAGAAAATACACTGCTACTACTACCACGGTCACTAGCATTTGTCTCCACAATAAATCCCGAATAAAATTGAAAGCTTACGATCAAGAGCATAAATTAAACCTCTTACTGAACTACTGAAGAAGGAAATTAGTATACAATTGAAGAAAAATAATACAAATTTACATGATTAAGGAGTAAAGATGTTGTTCGTCGAGCTTTTTAAGGTGGATGGTGCATTGGTTAGGCCAAATGGCATCACCAATATATTTGTTTTGAAGATAATCTCAGCTGTCTTTCTAAATTGATGGTAACCCGCTCTCTGATCCACCTTAGAAAATATCTTGGTTCATCCAATTCATCTAATAAGTCCTCAGTGAGTGGTTTGTAAAACTTATGCTCTGCAGGTGCATCTATTTGAGTCCTTGTGGTAGTATACAAATGACAAGAACAAAATTTCTTTCCAGCCAAATAAACATGTGATGTTTTTCTTTTTTACTTATAAAAATATATAAGCCTCCTTATTCACTGGTATATAGTCACTGACCGAGGGTATTCTGTCATCTACCCCTGTGAGGTGGCAACTATTTAGGCTGCTTAGTGAGTTCTTTTACATTCACTTCAGTATATTCTGGCGGTCTTTTAGCCATTTTAACATTGCTTCGAGGATTCAAACGACTCTAATACCAGTTGGCACCAATGAGTCAATGACCATCAGCTCAGGAACTATGAGTTTGAATGCTAAAATTTGGGTCCAGGAAACTATATCTGGTATAAGTTATCAACGACACAAGGCTACTGCTAATACTCGATACTCTATATACCGCATGAGTAATAAGCTATTCTCCTAATTAATTTCAGTAAAATTATTGCGACTTGCATATAACTGCCTCCCATGTGGCAACATGAGCTCATGTACAAGCTGTTAACAACCTCTGTGAGTTGCTTCTATTCTGTTAAGCTAGCGTTAAGCTTGTCGCGCATTTGCTGGGCTCCGTAGGAGACTAAATGCTTGAACACCTCAGTTGACTATGGCATTAGGTTCGCTTTTTCATATGAACTATGACTTCTAGACTGCAAAACGCTGGTGATGTTTGATATATATTGTTCTAAATGACTGGAAGTACTAACTTTCTCACTTTACGGAAAGATGATGTGATTCACATTTTCACTTTCTTTTTATTGGTAATTTGTGTTTCTTTCATAAGATTTTTGAAGTTTAGTTTATTTATCAAATTTCGATGGTGAGATTATTTGAACAAATTTTCATATCAACCTGTAACTAAATCGATTAAAAAAAAAGAGATCTTGACCATAATGACAGATGTATGATTTTTGTTCACATAGGTGCTAAATTTGTATATGTTGAAATGATGAGCTAATTATGTCTTTTTTTAATTTTCAGATGTGGGCATGATCTGAATTGTTGTTGGGTTCTGCAGTGCGGTTAATCATGTGCAAGTGCACCATCAAAAGAAGAAATCTCATTATGCACTAATGACTTGTGAAAGGTTATGTTTGTCTTGCAAAGCTTCGAGCACATCACATGAAAACATTGAGCCCAAAATCTGCCCACTCAATTTTCAAACTCATAGAACAATGCAAAAACATAGCCACCCTCAAGCAAGTGCATGCTCAAATGATCACAACTGGACTTATTCTCCACACTTACCCTCTCAGTCGCATACTCATTTCGTCCTCCACCCTAGCCGCCACCAACTCCTATGCGCTAACCATTTTCAACCAAGCAAGCAATCCAACAATTTTCCTGTTCAACACCCTAATCTCATCATCCCTTGCTAGGAAAGATGATCAAGTTCACTTTTCTTTAGCTCTTTACACTCGTATTCTCACTCAAACCACTCTCAAGCCCAATAATTACACTTACCCATCTCTTTTTAAGGCTTGTAGTTCTCAACCATGGCTTCAAAATGGCCGTGCCTTGCACACCCATGTCTTGAAATTCCTTGAACCACCTTATGATCATTTTGTTCAAGCCTCGTTGCTTAATTTCTACTCCAGGAGTGGCGAATTGGGGGTTTCAAGATTCCTCTTTGATCAAATCACAAGACCGGATTTAGCTTCTTGGAACTCCATACTTACAGCTTATGCCCATAATACTTCTGTTCAATATGAAGCCAGTCTTGATAATGCTTATGATAACACTAATTTGTCATTGGAAGTTTTGCTTTTGTTTAATCAAATGCAGAAATCTTTGGCTAGTCTTAATGAGGTTAGTTTGGTGGCGTTGATTAGTGCTTGAAAGGTTATTTGACATTGAAGAGGAAGAGAAGGAAGATGCACTTTCATACCATAGTGAAAGGTTAGCCATTGCTTATGCTCTTATTGCATCTGTTTCTGGTTCCCCTATTAGAATTATAAAGAACCTAAGGGTTTGCAGTGACTGCCATGCAGCTACTAAGCTTATATCAAGGATTTATGAGAGGGAAATTATAGTAAGAGATAGATCTAGGTTTCATCACTTCAGAAATGGGACTTGTTCTTGTTTGGATTATTGGTAGAATTTCTTGTACTTTGTGTTATTTGGAACAGCATATAGTTTACTTCACGGGCGGATCTAGAATTTTTAGTACATGCGTGCACTACTTAAAAAAGAAAGAAAAATTATATTAAGTGGGAATTGATCCTTATTCCTCTTAGTAAATAACTCAACCTTCAATCAAGCGCATCATTCAGTCTTCTTGAAGCATATGTGCGAACAATTAATATAATATTAATTTTAAAAAATATGTACATAAACATCTAATTTTACGGAAAGACCATGGGTTCACGTGCCCCATCATCTCCCTATAAATTTGCCCCTAGTTTACTTAGTCGGACATCCTGCCTCCTCTATTTAAAAAAAAAAAAGCGTGAACTAGTGTTCCATTTCCTTGTGATCTTGCTTTTGGTGAAAGATGTATGTATAAAAGTAGAGCTACTGTATTATATTTATCTCTATCTTTTAGTATTGTTGAATTATAGCAAGTTGATTAATCATGAGAAATGATAAGTCTTAAATGCACTCCAAAAAATGCTTTATGGACTCCAATTACATATTCACTGCGTCTAAAAGTACTTTAATTTACTCACCGGAATACTATGAATGTGAAAAAAATCCAATTAAGAAGAATTACAAACCTGAAATCCACATCTGCTTTATATTTGAGTCCTTATAAAGAGTAATCATATAAATTTATTACCGAAAAATCATATAAATTTTATGTAATGATATTTTGCTTACATGATAACTCTCATTTATCCTACATTGTACAATTATTGATTCTCAGATTTTTTTTTTTTTTTAGGGGGTTAGGGTAGGGGGGTGGGGGGGGGTACGGGGGGCTAAAAACTATGTTTTTTTGCATGTTTCAATGATATGATAGGTTTTTCGGATACATTTCAGTGCATTAATTTTTTACTTGCTTCCTAAATTGTTTTTTGTCTACTTTTCTCTTTTTTTGCTATTATTTTCTTAGGTCCAATGTTATCATATTTATTCATGTATACAACCTCCTCTCGAAGTGTACGTATCTTTGCATTTATCAGTTCTTCAACATCTTGAATTTCCTGACAGCCTTCTTTGCTTAAAACCAAATTAAGAAAAGAGAGTAAAAGAAAAACAGAAGTCTTAATGTTGGTTAAACCATTTTGCTTTGCTGGAAAAGAAAAAAAAAGAAGGGTAAGAACAAAAACCAGCTTTCAACTAAACTTTATAAAGAACTGCTTCCTGTCCATGTAAAATAGAGAGACTACTTCGGCAAAAAAAGGAGAAATAACTGGTAGCAAATGTTTGCTTCACTGAAAAGAGAATTTCAAAATTGCAAGGTTAAGCTTTTCACCCAAATTTTCACTAAAAGCACCCCGCGCAGGAGGCGCGCTGGATACCGGTGGTGCATAATAAGGCTCCTGAGGTCTAGGAGGAGCTGGAATACCACTGGCTGCTGGAAGAGCTGAATGAACAGGGCGACTCATATAACCTCTACCATGGCGACCTGCCGCTGGGGTACGGGCACCAGAATAATGGCCCGACTCTCGAGACCTCTTGGCCTCTCTCTCCTTTCTCTCCCTAGCATGCATACCCTCAATCCTCCTAACGATGCTCACCACCTGCTGATAAAAAATATCCATCTCCAACTCATGAGCCATGCTAGACCTGATGTTGGGAATAAGGCCCTCAATAAATCGGCGAACTCTCTCGCGAATAGTAGCAACCAAGGCTGGTGCATGCCTAGCCAAACTGGTGTAACGGACAGCATACTCTGAAACAGTCATAGCACCCTAGTGCAAATGCTCAAACTTTGCGCGCCATGCGTCCCTGAGGCTCTGAGGAACATACTCCCTCAGGAACAGATCTGAAAACTGAGTCCAAGTCAGTGAAGCAGCCTCATCTGGACTGTCTAGCTCATAGGTGTGCCACCACTCATAGGCGGCTCCTTGAAGCTGGAAGGTGGTGAAAGAAACCCCGCTCGATCCTGAGAAACCCATGGTGCGGAGAATGCGATAACACTCATCAAGGAACCCCAGAGCATTCTCTGATGCTAAACCACTGAATACAGGAGGCTTGTACTTCTTGAACCTCTCAAGCCTCAACTGCTTATCCTCGGAAGCAGCTTCCCTGTCCTCGAGCTGAGCTGGCACTGCAGGCGGTACAGGAATAATCTCAGGACCTGCTCGACATGAACTCGTTGCTCAGGAGTGCGGGCGGCGGGAGTCTGTGCTCCTCCCCCGGCCTGGGATGTAGCTGCAGCAAGGGGAAGCAACCCTGCCTGAGCCAGAGTGGTGTACATGCTCATAAACTGTGCCAGAGTCTCTTGAAGTGCTGGTGTGGTAGTAGTACTACGTGCGCGTCCTCGGCCTCTACCCCGGCCCCGGCCCTGGCCCCGGCCCCGGCCTTTGATGGCTGCAGTAGGGGGCGCAGGTGCCTGATCATCTCGGGTAGCACGTGTCTTCACCATCTGTGAGAGAATAGAAGACAAAAGTTTAGAATGGTGATGTCAAAATATTGCACGACAAGGAAATCAAATGAAGTGGAATTTTTCCTAATAGTTACATAGCCTCTCGTAGATAAGTACAGACGTCTCCGTACCGATCAGCGAGACTCTAATAAACCGGCTTGTGATCCATGATTCCTATGAAGCTAGAGCTCTGATACCAACTTGTCACGATCCTGGTTAGCCCTCCGTGAACCATCGTGACGACACCTAGTCTCTACGACTAGGTAAGCCTAAATTTGCGGAAGATAACCAACTTGTGGAAGTAAAACAATTTAAAAACAGAAATCAAGCAATAACAGTGTGTAAATGTGCCGCTCGGCATACACCATGTTTAACTTTCAATACCAAACATAAATCCAAGACCCGGAAACCCATGAATCACAAGCTAAGAAAGAAATACTACATAGCTCTAACTCCGGAATTTCTAATAAAGCACAGAAAAGTACAGAAGGGCTAAATACTAAAGGCAGGAATAGAAAGGGACTCCTTAGTCTGTGGATGCGGCACATGTACCTCGGAGTCTCTACGCAGTCGCCTCCCTTAACGATAGTAGGCCTGATCAGCGGTACCTGGATCTGCACATAAAAAACATGCGCAGAAGAGGCATGAGTACACCACAGCGGACTCAGTAAGTGCCAAGCCTAACCTCGGTTGGGTAGTGACGAGGAAGGTCAGGGCCCTACTGAGATTAAATAAAATATAAAGGTAAATAGTATAGAACGGAACAGTATAAATGAGTACAGCAGTAAAATAACACAGGGTGAACAGAACAACAACAACTATACAGAACCAGGTAAACATGGAAGGAAATACAACTCAGCACCGATAGTAACAATCGGGGATCTCCCAGGATACCGTCCTGTAGTCCCATCTTTACATATATAGTGAATCTCCCGGGATACCGTCCCGTAGTCCATCATATATATATATATATATATATCCTAAGGATCACCAGGGATACCGTCCCGTATTCCAATTCATAGTGCGCGGGGATCTACCGGAATCCCGTTCCGTAGTCCCAAATGTAAATATCCAGTACTGGGAGAATCTACCGGGTGCATTCCCGTAGTTCCGTATAACTGTGCAGGGGGATCTACCGGGAATCTAACCCGTAGTCCCAAAGTAAATATGCAGGAGGATCTACCGGGAATCTAACCCGTAGTCCCAAAGTAAACAGACAAGGGGGCGGGGGGGAGCTATCAGAATCCCACATCCGTAGTCCCATTGTAAATACACAGCAGCAGCAAGAAAATATTCAGAAAAGAGAAATTTCATGTTAAGGCAACAAATAATTCTAGCCTAGTACGCTGCACAGAGTTCAGGTAAACAGATTGAACAATTAAAGTAATTAAATCACTTAGACATGCTTTCCTAAACTAATAACGGGCTTAATAGTATAAATACTAACAGCAGGAGAAGGAACATACTAATAAGTACTTAAAGAATACCGGATTTCCAAGAATTTGCACAAGTACGCACTCGTCACCTCACGTACAAGGCATTTCAATTACCAAATATATCAATCCTAAGGGGAAGGTCCCCCACACAAGGTTAGGCAAGCCACTTACCTCGAACCGGGTTCAAAAATCAACCTAACACCACGTCTTTGCCACGAGTACTCGACTCCAAATGGCCCACATCTATTCAATTCAATTGCATAACGTAAATAACACTTCAAGTAACTGATTCTACAATTAATTTCTAAGCTAATACGCGAAATTATGTAAAATGACCAAAATGCCCCTCGGGCCCACGTGGTCAAAACCCGAGGTTCGAACCAAAACCCGATTACCCATTCCCCCACGAACCCAAATATATAATTTGTTTTGAAATCCGACCCCAAATCGAGGTCCAAATCCTCAATTTTTGAAAAACCTAGGTTCTACCCAAAACTCCCAATTTCCCCCATGAAAATCATTGATTTTAAGTTGAAATCATGTTAAAAGATGTTAATGATTGAAGGAAATGAGTTAAAGTTAACTTACAATCGATTTGGAAGAAGAGTTGTTCTTGAAAAATCGCCTAAAGGAGTTTGTGTTTTGAAAAGATGTGAAAAATGGGTTTAAAGTCGTCTAAGTATAAAGTTGCAGGTCGCAGGTATGGGAAATGCGAACAGGGGTTCGCAATTGCGAACCCTGACCTCTGCTAAATCTTGGGAATTGCAAAACAGGGTTCGCATTTGCGAACCCTTCAGGAAAGCTGGACCTTCGCATTTGCGAATAGAATGTCGCATTTGCGATTGGGGAATTGCGAAGAATGGGTCGCATTTGCGACCCAAGGCTGGACGGGTATTTTCGCATTTGCGAAGGAATACTCGCATTTGCGAGCAAGGCAGGCCTGGGATGTTTTTCGCACTTGCGATCCATCCTTCGCATTTGCGAGCTCGCATTTGCAAGCCAGCTTCGCAAATGCGAAGCCTGCAGGCCTGATCATACCAGCAAAAATTCTGCAATTTTCTAAGTTCCAAAAGCACCCCGTGGCCTATCCGAAACTCACCCGAGCCCTCGGGGCTCCAAACCAAATATACACACAACCTCAAAAACATCCCACGGACTTATTCGTGTAATAAAATCACCAAAATAACCTCAATAACAACGAATTAAACCTCAAAATCATAGAATTTTCTCAAACTTCTTAAAACATCAACTTTAGCAAATTAGGTCCGAATCACGTCAAATGACATCCGTTTTTCACCAAATTTTACAGAAATGTCTTAAATTATATATAAGACCTGTACCGGGCGCCGGAACCAAAATACGGGCCCGATACCATCATGTTCTAATCAAATTTCATTTCAAATTTCTTTAAACAATTTCAGAAAACAATTTTCTTCGAAAATTCATTTCTCGGGCTTGGGACCTCGGAATTCGATTGCGGGCATACGCTCATGTCCCATATTTTCCTACGGACCCTCCGGGACCGTCAAATCACGAGTCCAGGTCCGTTTACCCAAAATGTTGATCGAAGTCAAATTAGCTCATTTTATAGTCAAAATTTATCATTTTTCATATATTTTCACATCTAGGATTTCCGGCTACGCGCCCAGACTGCGCACGCAAATCGAGGTGATTCTAAAAGAGGTTTTTAAGGCCTTAGAACACAGAATTTCATTTTAAAACAAGTGATGGCCTTTTGGGTCATCACATCCTCCACCTCTAAAATAATCGTTCGTCCTCGAACGGACAAAAGAAAGAAGTAATTGAATCGGGGAAAAGATGAGGATAATGGCTCCTCATATCGGACTCGGACTCCCAGGTCGATGCCTTAGGAGGCTGACGTCTCCACTGAACACGAACAGAAGGAAAACTCTTCGATCTCAACTGGCGAACCTGCCGGTCTAGAATGGCTACCGGCTCCTCCTCATAAGACAAGTCCTTGTCCAATTGGACAGTGCTGAAATCTAACACGTGGGATGGATCCCTGTGATACCTCCGGAGCATCGAAACATGGAATACCGGGTGAACTCCGGCCAAGCTGGGAGGTAAGGCAAGCTCATAAGCAACCTCCCCAACACGCCTTAATATCTCAAAAGGGCCAATAAATCTCGGACTCAACTTTCTATTCTTCCCGAATCTCATGACGCCTTTCATAGGAAAAACCCGAAGCAGAATTCTGTAACCGTTTGTTCATATAATTTTTTTAAAAAATTTCTCATTCAACCTAGTTTCAATTGTGAAACAGAGCAATATGAGAAGATAAAGTCGTTCGATGAGTTCATCTCCTTATTATACACCGGTTTCAATTGAGAAATTGAGCAACATGAGAAGAGAAACTAGGTCGATGAGTTTATATTTTCATTCAACCCCGGTTTTAGTTGAGAAATCGATTAATGAATGAAATATGGGAAGACAAAATCGTTCCGAAAGTGTTATAATCTCGAAAGGATGTTGTTGGTCAATCTGAGAAAAAGAAGAGCAAAAGGGTTAGAGTGGATTATGTTGAAGGTAAGAGAAAACGTGTCATGGAGGACGGAGCGAATTTGGGTGTCAAACCACAAAAGAGTAAGATCTAGAAGGCAGAAAAAGTTAAAATTCCTAACAAAGTTTGTAAGGTACATACTGTTATATTTATTGTGTATTGTTGAATCTTCTTTTGAAATTGGATCTAGTTTATATTTGTTTGTTGTTAATTTATGCCACTTATTTGTAGCCTTGGAAGCTTTATATTCCAGCTGGTGAGCCTTTTCCTGTTACTCATTAAACATCATACACTAATGTGGACATTGTATCAGTTTTACAGTCAAAGTTGACTGTTGTCCGGCTTCGGATGTTTAGGGAAAGCTGTTTTGGCTATTTCCTTGATTTACCTTGAGTTTTTATCCAGACACAACTAATTCATTCTTTAATTAGCGAGTTGGTTCAAGATAAGTTTGATCAATTTTTTGTGAAATTGAATGACGAACATGTTTTACGTTGTGCTCTTTGGGAATTTGGTGTTGTAAGTGGTTTAAACTTTTGTGGCAATGAACATGCTGAGGGTAACTTCAGTGGACCCTATAGGTTAGTGGATACTTAGAGGGTGTTTGGATTGGCTTATAAAAAGTAGCTTTTTAGCTAAAAGCCAAAAGCCATAAGTTGGTAATACCTAACTTTTGGCTTTTGGCTTATTTTTGTGCCTTTTATGCCTAAAAAATAAGTGCTTTTAAGCACTTTTTATCATTGCCAAATACCACATAAACTAAAAAAGTGCTTAAAAGCCAATAAGAACTTAAAATGAGCCAATACAAACACCCTCTTATTTTTCTAGTTTTGAAGCGGTGTCAAGAAGTTGCTTACTGATTGTTTTGAGAAGAAGACATGATAGTCTGATGAAGACGCAATTAAGGTTGCAATCATTTATTTCATAAATACATTTCTAATGTCCACTCAGGCTCATAAGACATTTATAAGTAAACGTAATTTTCATCTTGTCGAGAGTGGTGAGTATGTGTCCTTTCCTTGGGGTAAGATTGCATTTCGAGCTTTAATTGTAAGGCCCCGTAAAATTTTCCCTAGAACCCGAGGTTTTGTGGTGCCAAGGAAGCTTGCTAATCCTACCAAAGCAAGCCTCTCAAGTGCTGACCTTTCTTCCTACCTTTGAGCGAAGCAAGCCTCTCAAGTGCTGACCTTTCTCCCCCCTCTCCCCCCCCCCCCCCGGTGAGGCTGACCTTCTTGTGTCACGAGTGATGTGAAACCTCCTTCTTGTCTTCTATTCCAGGAAGTGGTATAATAGGTCCCCCTAAGGGAAGCCCTTTGGCAGCTATCCGAGCTGCGGTATGGACTTTTGGGGTTGCTTAGTGCTTCGAGGAGTTGAACGAAAAAGTTTACAGAACATGGCAGTTCTGCGGTCCACTATGCGACCGCAGAACCAGTTTGCGGGCCGCAGATCGGCCGCGGAACGAAGCAGAAAGATTTGCCAAATTTGAGGACCATTATGCGACCGCAGAACCATTTTGCGAGCCGCAGATCCCATCGCAGAACCAGCATGAGAAATTTTGGAAGAAGGTTCTACGGTCCATTATGCGACCGCAGAATTAGTTTGCGAACTGCAGACCTGTCGCAGAGTGAAGCAAAAATGCCTAGTTTTTGAGGGCCATTATGCGGTCCATTTTGCGGGGCGCAGAAGTGTAATGCGGTCGCATATGCGACCGTATATCAGCATCGGGACTCCATTTTTCTAATCTTACAACCCGACCCCCATTTCGTTTGTCTTGCCCGATGGTTCATTTTAGGGGGATTACCTGACATTTTAGAGAGAGGAGAGAGCTATTCTAGGGAGAGGAAAGGGAGGACTAAGGATTTCACTACTCTACCTTGATCAAACCTTGGTAATTTCATCATAAGGAACTTGCTAGGGCTTAAAAAAGATTGGCATAGTTAGGAGTGTTGGGACATTATTGTGGCACTACGAAAAGCTCTTTCAAGGTATGAAGGCTAAACTCTTTTTCTGGTATTGAAATTCTCGCATTCTTACAAAGTTCCATCGTGTGAAGTTCTAACATGGGACGCTATTGATGTGGGATATTCAAACGAGAAAAAAAAATTGATTCTTTATTGGCATAACGCGTTAAAACCCTCATGTGTTAATGATTCTCTATTTTTGACTTAATTATGTTATACCCCTTTTGGAGAAGAAAATCTTGTATGAAATCAATGTGATTAAACACTTATTTCTCATATGATGAAACCTTATGAACTTACACTTGCTAAGGCCAAAGGTGCCAAATGGTTGATTGGAAGATAACTCTTTTGTACAAACTATTATCATTTTGGGAATTCGAAGTGTGGCATTGTGAAAACGCCTCCACCCGCATACATTGGGGTGAGGCGGCAGGGCCGCTTTGTGTAGAGTTGTGGTATTGTGATTACACCTCCATCTGCATACATTGGGGTGACGTAGCAGGGCCGTTTTGTGCAGAGTATATGGTATTGTGATTGCACCTCCACCCGCATACATTGCAGTGAGGCGGCGTGGCCGCTTTGTGTAGAATTATGGTATTGTGATTACACCTCCACCCGCATACATTAGGGTGAGGCGGCAGGGCTTCTTTGTGTAGAGTTCCTGGTATTGTGATTGCACCTCCACCCGTACTTTGGGATGAGGCGGCCGAGCCGCTTTGTGAAAAGGTGGTTGCAGAGGATACCCGACTTAAAAATTTATAAATGTTATTGAAAGCTGTTAACAAATTTGCTATGGATTTAACGACTATCTAAGCCTTTTATTGTTAACATTATTTATCATATTCATATTGTATTTCCAAGTCCTTGCATAGGTGTTTGGTTTTCATACTAGTACTATTCGACATGTATTAACGTTCCTTTTGTCGGGGGCGTTGCATCTTTAATGAATGCAGGTGGTTCTACAGTGGAAGGCATTGACAAGTGATGGCGGTACACTCTCTTCCCAGTTGACTTGGTGAGCCCCACTTCACTTCGGGGTCGTGTATCTTTTGATCCGTGCGTATTATGTTTTGAGGTATAGTCGGAGTCTTGTTGCCGGCACTATCATTGTACTCTTTTGTATCTATTAGAGACTCTGTAGACATGATGTGGGAGGTGTATTGGTATTGGGAAAGTCAAGCTAGTAATCTCGTATGTGTATTACATGTTCCACTTCAAATATGAAAGTGTATGTATTTTGAGACTTTATAAATGAAGTAACTAATAGTAATGGAATTAGTGTTGTTTATGAATCCTCTCGGTGTTAATTAATGAAATTTATCTTCCCTTCATTTATGGGTGAGTTGGGTAGAAGGAAATCTAGTAGGCTTGCTCGGCCGGGTTATCTCGGTTGAGAGTTGGTCGCGCTCTCCGAGGTTGGGGCGTGACATTAATGAAGTCGGTGAGGGACAGATTGAGGGGAAAGTCTGAGTTTTATAGGATTGATGGATTTTCTCTTGCACTACAGGTGTGGTTCTATGAATGCTGCACTGTAATGGATAAAAGATATGTTGTTCACTTTGGAGATCATACCCCATGCATATTGAACAGGATAATGATAGACATGCCAATGCGTGAGGACTTTTCTACTGGTTTCTTCAACAGCACATGGAATAAGATACCAGCTTTTATGTATTGATAGGTTATACATATATAATACATTGTAATTCATTGTGATACATTAAATATATAATTTTTTATACATTTTTGATAACCGATACGGAACTTAATGGAGCCCTTTTACAAATAATATCTCATGGATTTATTGGTGCTGCACTTTTTTTCTTGGCGGGAACGACTTATGAAAGAATCTGCCTTGTTTATCTTGACGAAATGGGCAGAATAGCTAATCATTAAATCCTACAAATGATTGTTCGGCTATATCGTGGAAATTTTTTGAAAGACAAGAATCAAATAATTTTTGCATACAAACCAGGGTTGCGAAGCGAAGGTGCGGTCCAGCTGCAGGAAAGACCAATTGCAGAGACAAATTCAAAGAGATTCCCGCATACTATTTATTAGTTAGATTGTAGTTATAAAGCTGCCCCCTGGAATAAAATAAAGATAGAGGCTGCATTTGATATGGATCTTTTGATAACATCTAGGACTGAACCACTTTTTGTTACATTTGCAGTTTCAAAATATTTCTCCTACGACTGAAGAGCTAAGGAGATTTACTTTGCTTGTTGAAGTTAACGATGAGTATCAGAAATATTTGACATCACGTAACAAGGGAAAACTTCCTATTGATGATAGTGATGATTTTGTCACGTCACCCCCGAAATAGATTAAGGATCCCGTCCCACCAAAAAAGGCGCCTTGTATCCAACCTGTTGATTATGATCTTGAGTTGTAGAAGTTGAAGGGAGATATTAAACAAGTTTGTATTGGTATTTTATATATATATTTTTTTGAAAGTTTTGTTAAAATTCCATGTCTATTATTTTTCTTATTTGTTTCCTTTTGTAGCTCCTTAAGCAGTTAAAGTCCTTCATGGAATATGTTTCTGATAACTTCAAGGAAGTCTTTGAGTTGATAAATTCCAAAGTATGTATTTCTTTATCATTGTGCATTTCCTTTTATTTTTTAGTTAACTTGCTGTATCTTTTTTTTTAAATAGATTGGTGCAAGCGAAGACAAATATTATTCACATCCAGAGAAAGACACCAGTTGTCATCAGGAAAACAATAATTTTCTGAGCAATATAAAGTTTGGTGGCAATGAAGATGTTGACATGGATGGTTGTAAGGTATTTTTAGTTGTGAATTGTGCCCTTTTCCTTTTTCTTTTCTTTGTTATTTTTGATAATGCGATTCTTTTATTAAAAAAATAGGTCGGTGAAAGTGAAGGAAAAGATGTTCCACATTCTCAAAAAGATACCAGTGCGCATCATTCTAACAACTTTGTGCTCGATGACGTAGATCAGTTAGGTTTCAATATCATAGAAGAACCTTCTGGGGGTGTCCCCATTATGTTCGTTTCTAAAGTAACTTTAACACCAGATGTAGCAGCGCTATTGGTGAGACTGTAGATGAGGTGGCATGGGAGATGAAGGAAGAATCTGAGAAAGAAAAGGTTCTCGAATCTCAGACTAGTACTATTGGGTAAGTATTGATAAGGCGGCAGGGGAGATGAAGGAAAAATCTGAGAAAGAGGTTCCCGAATCTCAGATTGTCATATAGTGGTATGAATTACTTCATGAAGTTTCTCCGAAAATGTAAAAAAGAAAGAGAATGTCCTGCAAAGGCCGTGCAATCACCATTCATTACTGTATTTGATTTAGGTCTAGTAGTGGTGTTGTTGCAGCGAAAGAAAAAAAATAAATTTATGCTATTAAGCATCCTTTTAAAAGCAAAATCGGAAATGGCATTAACAGTTATTTGTTGAATGTATTTGCTGCGTGGGTCAAAGAAGGGAAGTCCAGAAAGAAGTATGTTTTCAACTTCTGACTTTTCTTCAGTTTTATATTTTAATATATTGTCATTTGTAGCATTATTTTATATCAAATCACTGTATCTCTTTTGTGTATATTTGTTACCAAGAATGAAATTTACCCGAACCATGTTTGTGAACTGCAGTCTGCTTATGATCTTGGTGTATATCATGTTGAAGACAAAAATAGTTTCACACTTTGGCATATAATGGTCAGCCTATGGATGACTTGGTATGTAAGAAATTACTTTTACAGATTTTTTTTTAATTTTAGATTTGGTTACCTATTTTATATTATTATAGTGATTAATTATTTGTTATGTTTTGATTCAGCACGTTGATATTTTGTTCTATTATTTGAGGAAGAAGGGGAAGTATGACAAAGACCTACCTGCAACATTCACCACCACAGATTGGTACTTCGACGGGAAAATTAATGAGTTGTGACAGGCGATTATTGATACAGATGGAGATAGTGAAGTGTGCAATCCGAAACATATCATTGTAGAGTATATTCAGGGATATGTCTTGGATGCCAACATTCCATGGCACACTGTGGAGCACGTCTTAATGCCAATTAATATTGCGGCACAATGTCATTTGATAATGGCTGTGATTTCCTTCAAGGATAGGTGCATTTATGTGTATAACTCTATGCGCGATGGAGCTGCTCATCAAGCCAAAGTTCATAACGCAATGCGCAAGTATTCTGTGTTGCTGCCTCACTTTTTTGTGCACACGCATTTCTATTTAAATGAAAAAGATATCAATTGGCACGCTGGCGTCTACAAATCAAAGGACATGGGCTCCATTTGATGTAAAACTAGTTGAAGGACCGCCTCAACAAGTAAAAGCATATGATTTTCTTTAAACACAATAAGTTTTTTTTAGATTCCACAGTTTGATAATTGATGTGTCACGACCCCAGTTCGCCCTCCGTGAACATGTCGTGACGGCACCTAGTCCCTACGACTAGGTAAGCCTAACAATGTGGAAGATAAACCATAATTGCGGAAGAAAGTAAATAAAACTGAAGTTGTAAAATAAAACGGTATTTAAGGTGCCGCTCGGCACATACCACAACAATTCTCGAAGCTAACA